ATCCACGAACCTCCTCTGAGGTCTTCCTCTCCTCCTCCTGCCTGGCAGCTCCATCTTCATCTTCCTTTGTCCGATACCTCCATCCTCCCGCCTCTGCACATGTGCAAACCCTCTGATCAGACTCACCAGAGAAGCGCTCAACACCTTCAGCTCAACCTCCACCGTCTCCAAACCATCACAGCAGCTCTCACTACCGTCTTTTAAATCTTCCCTTTCAGGCCTGCTGCTCTTTTTCTGTCACAGATCACTCCTGACACTCGTCTCCACCCGCTTCACCCTGCCTGCGCTCTCTGTGGATGGTTGTTAAACACATCCACCTTCACTACCGCTGCTCTTTGCACATTCACCTTCCCACCTGTCTCCCTCTCATTCAGACACGTGTATTCTGTCTTGCTGCTCCTCCTCTCTCCAGAGCATACCTCCACCTCTCCAGGCTCTCCTCCACCTGTCTGCCTACTCTCACTACAGATCACAGCGTCATCTGCAAACACCATAGTCCGCCTGCTCCTCCTGCTTGACTTCATCTGTCAGCCTTTCCATCACCGCTGCAAACAAGACGGGGGTCAGAGCAGCTCCCTGATGCGATCCCACCACCACCTTCATCCCATCTGTCGCTCCTACTGCACACCTCCTCGTACATGTCCTGCACCACCTTCACATCCTTCTCTGGCACTCCTGACTTCCTCTCACAGATCCATAAAGACCTGGCCAACATCTGCCCTCTCAGAGCAATCACAAGGAAACCTCTTTCTCATCGTGAAGCTGTCCTGCTGCTCACTGATCATCGCCGCTCTTCTTCAACTACTCCCTGAAGCTAGCTTCATCCCACTGTAGTTCCTACAGATCTGCACTTTTGATCTTCTCCCTTCCTCAGGATTCCTCTCACTCTCCAAGATGATGTTGAACAATCTCCTGCCCTGTCTCAGAGACATCTGTAACCCAAATAAAACGAGGGTACCACTTTAAGGAATGATAAATATGAGTAGAGATGGACAGCCTGTCAAACCAATCGAAATGCACAGGTCCCAGTATGCTTTGACCAATGGGAAAGCATCCTGCCGCTGTGTGTCCCTCCCACCTGCTCTGTGTTCGCCGCTACGTGTGTGTAGTCGCGTGCTGAGCTGCGCTGCAAAGTTTTGATCCCTGAGAGAATGAAGTTTTTGAGTTGGAAAAAGTATTAGATTAAAGTTTGCAACCAACTGTGCTTCACATAAGTTCGCTGGTTATCAGCTGCCTTTCATGTTAAAAGTAGTCAAAGTGAGTAAACAGGCGAATGCTGCAGTTTTCTGGCGCCTTTAGAAAGCTAGCTAAACTGTTAGCCTTCATTAGCTCTAGTTGTTATCAGCTGCCTGGAAGTTCATCTCACTCTGCTTCCAGAAGTGAGGTAACACTTGAAGCGCAACTTATGTTTATTTTCCTTCACGTCGTAGTACTGTCATTAAAGAAAAAAACATGCCCTGTTACGCTGTTTAGAGTCCCGCGTGGTTCGACCGAGAGACACCGTACCATTGTCTTCGGGCTGACGCACTGAGATCGCTGAGTACATGTATGTCTTAGTTTAAGGCCACGTCCACACGTACACGGGTATGTTTGAAAACGGAGATTTTCCGTTTTCGTTTTGAAAAATAATCCCGTCCACACGTAAACGCAGAAATAAAGGAAAACGCTGCTATGAACATGCCAAAGCAGCAGGTGGCGCTAGATTCCTAACCGTGTAGAAATGTTGGCCAATCAGAAGTCTAGAAGCCTCGGTGGGAAAAAGTAAACAAAGCTGGGGCATAGAAGCAGAACCGAGTCGTATGTGTGGAGGGACAGTAACTGTGTGTATATGTAAGCATTTAAACACTGCAGAGAGTAGAATTAACAGTAACAGTATTGTAGAAATTCATTTCACCGAAACAATAACGTGGCGCACAGTGTGACGTCAAAAAAGGCGCACACCTTTGAGACGCTGCGTTTTTTTTTTTTTTTTGATACAGCTTGTGAACTCACTGTCTGACCCATACTCCGGAACAGTAGGAGGCGGTAATGCTCCTTTACGTTGGTTGCCAACCGCTGTTAAACACAAAGAAGAAGAAGAAGACAACGCTGCATTTTCTGCGTTTTCTCCGTTTTTCTCGTCCACACGTAAACGCAAAAACTGAGTTTTCAAAAATCTCCACCCTGGCAGGAGTTTTTAAAAATCTCCGTTTTCAGTGACCGAGAACGCCGTTTACGTGTGGACGAAAGGTGCGAACGCATAGAAAAATCTGCGTTTTCATAAATACCCGGGTACGTGTGGACGTAGCCTAAATCTGTTTTGCACTTTATTGTTCAGTAACTGAATTTATCTGAATTGTTTGGTTAATAACTGTCACATATGCACTAACTTTACGTAGCTTGGTTGTAAGTGTTAATGTTTTCATAATGTATTTAGAAAAGTGTTTGTATTACAATTTTTAACATAAGATAATATATTACAGTTTATGTAAGAGAGATGTTTTATTTTATCAAATTTGAGTAGTTTAATTGCAAATTGATGTAGAGTATGATGTCAACAAAATCCTAAGTTGTGCATTATAGCTAGAACAGCATAATTAATATTTGAATTGCTCTTCTTGCTCGTCTGTTGGCAGGTCAGGGGTGGATTCGATGGCGAGCTTTCCCACCTGGACTTAGAGAGACTGAGACTCGCGTCTTTTCCACTTGATGATGTGCTGCACCTTGAGGTGTGGTAGGACTGTATCACTCACACTCTCTCACACAGCTGAATAATAAGCTGTTGTGTAGAACATTCTCCACATGTGAAAGGAGTCTGAGATTTGTGTAACATGTTTCTATCAAAGTTAAGGAGTCAGGTGACTAGGGTGCACCCAGCATTGAAGCCCAGCATTGAAAACCAAAAGTAACACTTGGCCAAGTCGTTGTCTTAGTAGTTTATGTGTTTTACTTTTCTTTCATCTTGTGTATGTTTCCTTTCTACCATTGTAAAGTGCCTTTAATGGTTTATTTCACTAACGTCGGCTGGTTCTTTTGAGTTACACTCTGTGTCTCATTTAAACACACCCCTGTGCTCCTATAGTCGAACCTGTTGACCCATTGATATATTCTTTTCAACAATTCCCCTTACCGTGTTACGCATCTCCGTACAGCCACATCTATGTCGTCCGAACCAACCACCTTGCTGACTGATATTCATGCTCATGAATCATCATCGGGACAACAACAGCAGTGTTCACGGCAGGGAGAAACTGCCCATCTGCCAGAGCTCATACGGATGAACCAGGAGGCTGTGTGATGCATGTTTTCAGTGGATAGATGAGACCAGACGGATGGCGTGCTCTTCGTGAAACCCGATTGTGTTGTAGCGCCACATTGGGATGTTTTTTAATGCATCTGTGCCACGACAGCTCGCTGTTACTGAGCGAATACTGAATCCTGGATTACAGCAGAAACCTCTAATGTCAGGACTTCAGTCAGTGAAGAGGAAACACACCACCATCCCCGAGCTAATGCTGCTCTGTAGGGAGAAGGTCCCTGAACCAGCCACCGCAGACACTCACAGATATCTGATATATATTTTTAGGTCAAATAACCAAACTGTGAGTTCCTAAATTTCCCCTTTAAACGAAACATTTTCAACATTTCACAGTGAGCAGTGAGGAGATCCGGAGCTGGGCAGTGTGCAGACGCTGTGCTGTTAATGCGCTGTGTTCACAGCTTACAGTCCAGTGCTTCTAACATGTTTACTGCCACACTTCAGAGGCTGAGTTAAATTTAACTAACTGTTGGCTGGAGAGTGAAATTGCCGTTCGGTGTTCAGCATGAGATGCAGCCAAAGTGACGATAACAAGAAAATGAAAAACAACAAGCCGTCCAAACCTCGTGATAGATGTACGCCACCGCTGCCTGCCGCCATCCAAAGAGTCGCTACACGCGTCTGTCAGGTGTGATACCTGCGACGCCGCTCCTGTCGAGCAGTTAGAGTCCGCATATAATCCACTCGGGGTGATTCTGGCGTCTCTGTGCTTTCATTATTTCATCGTGGCCCGCGAGGATCATCACAGTTTAACTGGGACAAAACTGAACTAATGAGGCCAAAATGTAGAAGAGGCACGCCAAAAACACGACCTCGAGTGAACTCGAGTGTCAAACACAATTCTGGCTCTTGTTTATTGGAAGCAAAGCGGATCGGGCTGATGTTATTACAGAGCTACAAACTCCGCAGAGAGCCAGGAAGGGTGGACAGATGTGTCAATTAAATGTGGGACAGGGGAGTGCACTTTATTTCCCGGGGCTGACTCCAACTGGCAACCTCCCAGGCTGGAAAAAGAAGGCGGCGTGGAAAACACTGAGACCTGCAGTTCCTCTCACATCCACACGAGGCAGGCTCCAACGGTAAGCCCGCCCTCCTTACAGCAGGAACAAACGGCTCTGTGGTCTCCATAGTTCATGTCCTAGCAAACATTTCATTAACGCACCTGTTTGATTTTGGCACTCTTGACAGATGTGCAGGCACAGCTGTAGCCAATAGCTGTCTGCTAGACCTGTGCTGTAATTTCAATGCAACTGTCTGACCAATAACACGGCTGTCTCGGCTGAGACAAGCCAGGAAGTTAGAGCTCCAGTTTTTACGCCTATTTTGAGGATCACGTGCAGTGAAGTCGCAGTGGCTCCGTCTGTAAACTCATTTTGTAGCTTTTTGGTTTCCGTAGAGACGATCGGGTGCGTTCAATGACCTGAGGGTGTGCTCACTCCGAGTTATGGATGTGCAAAGGCATCATTAGGAGCTTCAACATCATGAGCACAAACCTGTGCGAGGGCTTCAACACGACGCAGCAAATGCTCGACACTTACCGTAACCTGAGAACATAAAAGCTGCACTTCCACGTTCACTTTTATTAAATATAAAAACTGCAAGAAAACGAGAGCAGAGAAAGGAGGGGGCGGTACGTGCCCGCGTTCAGTACCGTCTATTCATGCCAGCAGTGGCGGGAAGGATTTCTCATGGCGTCCTTTACCTGACACACTCCGCTGATGCACATGTCAAAGGCGTCCGCTCGGCACCGAGTCCCGTCCAGCACCTTCGGGGCCAGTTCCACAGTGAGGCTTCGGCCTTTAGCCTGGCAGCGCAGAGCGCAGGGGACGGTGGGGTCGTACGGCGCTGGGACCCACTCGTACGTGACGCCCTGGTACTTGATGTCATTGTGAGCCGAACACTGCTGGGCCCGGAAATCCCCCGACTCTGCAGGGCAGTCCTGAGGAGAGGAGACGAAAGTGTCACCACAATAACTCTTTATAAACTCATCTCGTTTTTTCACGTGACGACTGACAGAAATTCATATTTCGCCTCCTAATTCAGTTGGCTCTCATACTTTCTGTTTCTAAAGAAGGGAGGAGGCCCTGGGCAGACCCAGGACACGCTGGAGAGGTTACATCTCTGGGCTGGCCACGGTGAGCCCTGAAGGCCACACAGTTTTAGAGGTTTTCCTCAGGAGCAAACATTTTACTTTTGCATTTCCAACCTGTGGAGAAGCTTAAACATTTCAGCAGATGATCAAACAGCTGGAGGAAGCAGGTATTTTCTGGCACCAGCAGAAACTCGCAGCAGGGAGTCTGTGACGGCAGAGCAGAGATCTCTGGTTTAACACAATTCAGACACTCCACAGAGCCGTGAAGCCTGACAGCAGCTTCCCAGGGCTGGTTCCCGCTCACTGTCAGCTCCACATCACTGAGTGATAGTCATCAGCCTCACTACTCCTTCTTTCACATGATATAAAAATATCACTACTCGTTTTTTAGATGCACCACACTAACACTTTTACTGTGACACCCGTTTATTAGAGGGCGGTGCTGGGAGAGGCTTCAGCTGAATTTAGGGCTGTTGTTTCCTTTTAATGACTCAAATGTCCACAGAACGTGGAAAACGAAGCTGCAGCTGGAAGTCCGTCTGTGTGACCGAGAGGAGGTGATGCTGCAGAGAAGCTGTTTCGGTGCTTCTTAGGACCGAACGCCGTCTCGGATCGAGACCAGACGTTTGCTCCTCTGGCAGCCAAAAATCCGTCCTCCTCCGTGTGACGGAGAACTGGACAAATCCGGTGTGACACATCGGCTCCACGCAGTCACACTCTGCCACTGCTCGTATCCTTCAGCCCGAGCTCCGGTTCACACAGACTTAGCCTCAACGTGTCAACAGACACGGGATAGAAATTATCCTGGGAATTTTTCTGACCGGATGCAATGGATCCAGACTAAAACACTTCAGTGGGGAACGAGAGAAATAAGGCCGGTTTTCCTCGGATTAAAAATGGCGAGGTTATTTCAGCAGGCCGGATCTGTGATGTTGCCATTAGCTTATAGATCATATGAGGTTTTCATGCATAAACAGGAAGTAGAGGAGGATACACACACATTCAGACCAAATTTGTGTTTGGTCCGTTCAGATTATTCCTGGGCAGCTTTTTAGCCGTGCCATCTCTGGGTGTGCTGGTCAGGAGACTTCTGCTCTTTGTTTTTCTGGTTTTTCTTGTTCCTTCATTTACAGCAGCTGATCACGCCGAAGCCAGCCGGGATGACGACCGGAACGGCAACATCGACAGACAGGAAGAGGAGGACGGGCAGACGGTGCAGAGGAGGAACCGAGTGACGGGAAAGAAACGAAAATCTAAGCTGCATCTCCCATCTGTCATCGCAGCACGAGGTCAACAGGATGCCGCGCTAAGTTAAGAAGACTTCTGTGAGTTTAACAGCTGAGTGAGAAGCAGAGCGAGCGCCCAAAAGTCTGAGCGTCTCTGTTCCCTCTTGATTGGAGGAGTCGGTGCCCCAAGTGAGGAAGATCCACCTGATGAGGGACAGGAAGGTGTAGCGTGAACATGACAGGTGGATCAGTGCTGCACCACTGTGGTGGAGAAAGCTGAGCTGGAAGGTGAAGCCCCCGTCATGGACATGTAACGAGCGTCATCTCGAGGAGCTTTATTTCGTAAGGTTAAGACCCTCCAACTCCAGACGACCATCTGTGAGCCAACGCTTTGGCAACAGTGGGAAGAAAACCTCCCTTTGAGCAGCGAGGGACGTCCTGGCTCATGTGGAGGGCGGTTGGCACGATTCATTCCTCTGTTAAACTGACAGCTGCGTCTGGGCAGAGAAGCTCAGAGCTCTGTCTGGGTCCCACTGACGGACATAATCTCTCCAGCATCTCCAGGGCCTGAAACGCTACGAGGCAGATGTGGAACCACCTCAGCTGTTCATGGAGGAGTCCCTCCTCCCTGCGTCTCTGAGGCTGAGCTCTCTGCATCGCCTGGACCACCTTAGACCCACTCAGACTCACCGTGTTACTGCAGGTTCTGTAGCGGATATTTTTTCCTTCACAGCTTCTGTAAAACAAGGTCAGAAAAAACGATTTAGTGATTAAAACCAAAAGACATCAAAAGCTTTAAAAACAGCGAGTCGCGCACCGTTTCCCATCATCAGCCAGTGAGCTGCCAAATATTATTTTTATAATCAGATAAAAATGATGGTGATGGTTCCACTGGGGCGCAGAGATTATGGTGTAACGAGACAATAATCTCCTAATTACTGACTTACTCAGTTCATTACAGGACACCGAGCTCACAGTGAAGACGCTGCTGACTGTGGGGGGGCGGAAGACACAACCCCCCCACTGTCACTCACTGACCTCACCTGGACCCACAGCACCAGCGCTGTGGTAAAGAAGGCCCAGCAGCAGCTGCAGCCTCACTAACAGCTTCTTCCCCTGTTAACAAAGCGTTTCAGCTCCTCTGTTGTTCGTTTGAAGGCAGACGTGACCTCTGACCTCTGACGGTGTATCAGCTGTCTTGGTTGGAGCATCACTCAGACACAGACACCTGCTAATCAGTGCTCAGTGACATCCTATACAATCCCTGAATTTCCCTCTACACCACAGCCTTCCTGTGCGGTCTGTTACTACAGACTTCATAACCTCCTGAGAACCAGCCTGTTCATTTATGTTCTCTGCAGTGGGCGTTTGTTTTTGCTCTATGTCTACTGACTTATTTGAGCTACCCTACTAAGTCCTGATGTGCTAAACAGAGGACTTCCTGGGCTTTCCACTGATACGTCGTGTGTTTGTGGGGCCTCTTTTAGCTCCAAAGGAAGGAAAATCACGAAAAAGTTCAACGGGAAGATTTGTTTTCCTCGGTTCTCAGGATGAGGCTGTTTTCTTATTCGTCTCCTACTTTCAGCTGCTCTCTTTAGCGGGTCATCTGCCTCCATCTGACCTACTCCTAAGCATCCTCTGTTACACCGACTGTTTACACCACCTTCACCTCATCCATGAAGCTTTGAACAGACTGTAAACGTGCTGATTTCTGCTTGTTGGACGAGCCTGCGGGAACTGAATCGGCCTGACGTGGACATCACAGGAACTATTTATGCTTCATCTGTGGAGGTAACGATGGGAATGATGCTGGTGATAATAGTACACTGCAGTATTTTCAGTTGCAATGATCATAGCGGAGCAGCAGACGTGGACAGAGCTTTGTGCTCCTCTTGTCTCCAGAAAGCTAAAAACATCATCCTGTCACCGGGTTCTCCGACGCTCGAAGGCATTCAAACATAAACTCAATCAACTCGTCTAAAATGAAAAGAGGCTGAGAGTGACGAGGAGTTCGGTGTGAGCACTGAAACCTGTGAGGCCAGCAGCAGCAGTCAGTCTCCAAAGACTCCATGTCCATGGCTGCATCGTTGGACTTCACAGCTTTTGTTTGACTCATCACTATTTCTGGTGCCGATCAGCAAAGCTGAATGTTCTTATCGACCAGTCACAGAAACACGTGCACAGTTTTCTCATCTTTCCTGCACGTTTCCAGTTCATCATCATCATCATCGTTTTCACCCTGAACTTTGCTCCAGATCGGACCTCCAGGGGCCTGAGATGCACCATGAATATAATAGATTACCACACACACACACACACACACACACACACACACACACACACACACACACACACACACACACACACACACACACCGAGGTAATAGCAAACACACCACCTGCAGCAATACCTTTACTCAGATCAGCAGCTATTTTCAGCCAACTTCAACTGAGCTCCAGCTGGCATTCGATGGCCCACAAAGCCAAAAAAGTAACACACACGACACACAGCACAACACACACACTCACACACACACACACACACACACACACACACACACACAGTCTAACACACACATGGATCAGTACGCACACACACACACACACACACAACAGACACACACACACACAGCCTGAACCTGAGCCCTGTGTGAAATGTGCCATAGCGCAGCGCTCCGTTCCCTGTGACAGCACGGACATGCTGTTAAATCTGTTCCACCTTGTTAACAATCTCTCGTTGTGCGCTAACAGCCGTAAAATGCACATTTGTCCTGCTAACTCACAATAACATTCGACTAAACTGGTAGCGGCTCATTTATCCCGGGGTAAAGCAGCTCTGCTCCAATCTGCTCTTTAGTGCAGCTCTGAGCCCGAGAAGCACGCTGCAGCCGTTCAGCTGCACCGGGCACGGACAGCGGCCGACCGCGGCGCCGTATTAATGAGCCAATTAATAGATTTCTCCCGCTGAAATGCATCGACGACTCAACCACGGTGAGACAAACTCTGTGTGGGCGTGCAGCGGCCGTGGATGTGGAATGCCTACAGCTTACAGCCGTTAGTGCCCTCCTGAATTTACAAGAGGACCCAACATTGATGTTCAACAGTGTTCTGAACACGTAAACTCCAGTTCAGAAGCAGTTTTCTGTATTTGAATGTTTCCAACTCAGCATGAGTGAATCACATCTCCCGTCTGTGGTGAACATTAAGAAACTGGAGGTCCTTTAACAGAGGACGACGGGCAGCGTGGATTATTTTACATAACCTGAGGAGGATAACCTGTGTGCAGAGGCCGAGGGGAAGAACAAAATGAAGAACATTTATTACAGTCATACTGCTGCAGTTAGCAAATCAGATACGTGAGGTGGTTCTCCTCCACTGAAACAGTGCTGGGATCAACGACAAGAAACTTCCAGATGTTTCCTGGGACGCGCTCTCGCTCTCCATGAGTAAAAACCTAACGAGGGTCATTTATGACCACCTGCACATCGAGTGCAACAGCGGCTGTTTCACACACCGCAGCGCGCCGTTTAACCCAACGTGAAGCTGCACCAACAGCTAAATACTGGCTTTGACTTCACGTTGGCCTGTGCACACATAAGATGACGCTTAAAGCATCAAAAGTGTAGTGAAATGTGCTTTACATAACAAGCACTTCTTTACAGTCATGATTCGCTGGTTTCTTGGTACAAAGAGGAGAAAAATCCATCAGGTACAAGATCGGCTTCATCTGTCGGTTAAATCTGTACTTTCAAACACCCGTCCAGTATCAGTCCAGGACTCCACGGGTAATTCCTACAAGTTATGAGGTTATGAGATGTGTCAGCGTCTGTTCTTGTCCTTTTGGATGTTACATTTGAAGCTGTCTTCACAGATGCAAAGTTGCAGGAATGCCCTGAAATTTCCGTCTTACATTTAAAGCCTTCTCACATCTGTGCTGTGCGTGCTTGTACGTGCATCCTCGCCATCCCCAAAGGTCAAAACTCCACACGGAGCTGAAATCAGCAGGTGTGCTGATGCGTCATCACACACCTCTGAGCCTTTACTGCAGGAGGAGCCTGGACGACAGCGTGGCGCCGCAGGTGCACACGGCGGACAAATACGTGCAGGTCTTATCATCCTTTTTTATTTGAACATTACTCCTGTGACGGCTCTTTGTCGCCGCCTTTCATCTGCAACTCTATTCTGAAAGTCTTCAAAGGAAGTTTAATGACACAAAGAGCAAGAGAATGACATTTCTGTAGAGCACACTTTAAACTTGCAGTAAATAATAATGACAGGAGGGGTATTCACCTACTTTCATGTCACACTGATAATAACAAGTATTCTGAATATGTCAGGTATGCCTTTGAGAGCTCGTAACGGAGCTTTCTGTCATCTTTCAGAGTGAAATGTACAGCTGGCACAAAGAAAAGTGAGGATTTTGGCTTCTTGTGTCCAACTGAAAACTGAGGAGGTAATATTACAGCCTGTCAGGAGATGAGATGAGAATAATAAACTCACAATAACATCAACTGAAAGGAAATGTGGGTTTTTTTCTTCTCCTTTACACGTTCAACACCGGCTATAATTCAGGCACTAATGGAGTTTCTGACCTCTAATAGCAGAGAGTGCTTTGGTGAGGAGCACCGAGCTCAGCAGGACTCCTTTAATGGGAACGGCTTTCAGCACATTCACCGTGGAGTTTCAGAGGATGTTCATTTTCTTGCATACATAAAAATGTAAAATAGAAATAATGAAGTTCACAATGCAGAGGAGACTTTTTTTCCTGTGAAGTTGGAAAAAAATGACAACAGCAACGAAACACAAAGACGACACAGCTGACTGTGGACGTGCACATTAAAACATCTGTGCATTTTATATCTTCACAACCCAGAAACGCTCTGCCTCACTTTCTGACCCTGAGTGCAGGGAGAGGAGGCGTCTGTCTGCACACACACACACACACACACACACACACACACACACACACACACACACACACACACACACACAC